CCCCAATCTCCATTTCAAGACTCCTAGATATGCCACCTTTTCTTAGTATTGCTTGTCATGATAATAATTTGTTTCATATTTGGTAATTCTGAAGTTCTTTCTTTCAATTCTGCTGAGTTTTGTTTCCTGTTCTTTTAGTTGTTCTTCCTCTTTTCTTTTTGTTTCTGTTTACTGTATAAATGCAGTCATTTTCTATCTGTTTCAGCTGTTGAATTTGAAGAACTTATGGAAATCAAGCTTGCTTGAAGATTCAACTTTTACATTCTATTTTAATCTTAAGTATTACCATGGTAAACACATACAGTAGTAATGTTTGTATACAATCATAATTATTGTTTACAAATGTATGCACATTTATCATTTGTCCAAATAAATATCAACCATAATCATTATGTCTTAAAGCGGAGGTGGAGAATTTGTTAAAAAAATATGTAGCATGACCAGTTACTGTACACACAAATTTCTGCAAAGATAATCTCAAGACTACTTGTTATTTTTTATTTCCTCTACATTCACCATTGAAGAGGTGCCCTTTTGAAAGTGTATGTAAAAATTTCTAGAGTAGCATTTCTGGGAATCTAAGGATCAAGGTAATGAAAAATAATACTTCGTAACAACTGTCATTGGTGAAAACTCCTAGAATAAATTAAAAAAGGCAGCTGGTCTATAAGAAATAAGAACGAGTCTAAAAAAGTATAATGTTGTTGTTGGTTTTTTTTTTGTTTCTCCATAAAAATACCAAAATAAATAGTGGAATGGAAAGAGATAGCAATTCATAAATAAAAACCCAATTGAAAAGACTTCACATAGGCCTAAGGGAAACTGTGGTAATACTGTAATTTTATTTTTATAGTCAAGACAATATTTTGAGATAATTGAATGATATTTAATGAATTCAAGTATGGAGTCCATGATGGCTGCCATATCTTTTATATGATTATATTCAACAAAATAAATCGAAATACATTTCTACATTCAAATAATATTTATTTCAGTTTACATCAATTACAGTTTATTTATATACCAACTCCAATGCTGTGGATTTCCAGACATTTTTCTAAGCATTTTGAATGCTATTATTTTCAATCTTCATTGATAAATTATGTACATTTAAAATGGTAATTCCCTGAAAATCTACAGCTAACAGTTTTTAATAATTATATAATATAGAGCAATCTTTAAAATACACTTCTGTTTTTTTATTTCAAACAATATTTCATATTGTTTTTAATACAAACACAATTTAATTGTGATACTGATGATATAACATAATAGGTCAGCAGCATAGAACATTGCTTAAATCTTAATTAATTTCAGGGTCTGGGAAGATTTCTTCCTTCATCACAAAATAACTACTGATGATTCTGTGACCCCCATATAATTTACAGTAAAAAAATATTTTTTTTATTCTTGTCAAAGATTGTTGTTGCTTTTTGCAAAGCGGTTCTTGAGGGAAGAATGTTCTTTTTAAAACTACAGTGTATGCGAAAACATAGGATACTGGTTTTTTTTTTTTTTATTTCTATGACAAATATAGAATCTACATAGATCAAATTCAGATATGAAACAGAAATAGAAATAATCTATACTCTATAAATATAATAATTTTGCTGTTCTTCAGTGTTATGATTACTTTAATTTAAATGAGTTGTTTAAAAAACCATAGTTTTATTACTGATGGTATTAAGTTGAATTTGGTACAGCATCTAGAATTCCTATCAAACTAACCTTAATTATTATTATTATTATTTATATATATATTATATATTATTATAATCTGTATCTTCGTATTATCTGTAGTCCATTTCAATAAACTCGCTAGTATATTCATGAGTTCATGTAGAGTGCAGCAGAATAAAAAAAAATATATCGTTGAATTAACTGCCTAAGCTATAGTAAAAATACCAAAATAAATAGTGGAATGGAAAGAGATAGCGATTCATAAATAAAAACCCAATTGAAAAGACTTCACATAGGCCTTATGGAAACTGTGGTAATACTGTAATTTTATTTTTATAGTCAAGACAATATTTTGAGATAATTGAATGATATTTAAATTAAAAAAGGCAGCTGGTCTATAAGAAATAAGAACGAGTCTAAAAAAGTATAATGTTGTTGTTGGTTTTTTTTTTGCTTGTCAAATTTGAATTTTGCATGCATATTTCTCCATCAACTATTTTACATAATATAATTACTAAAATTCGCCCTTTTCTGAAAAAATCGAACCCTCATTTACAAATCCTGGCTACGGCCTTGCTATTCATTTCAGGAGATATTCTTAACACATCAGTTCTTTTTAAAACTACAGTGTATGCGAAAACATAGGATACTGTTTTTTTTTTTTTTATTTCTATGGAAAATATAGAATCTACATAGATCAAATTCAGATATGAAACAGAAATAATCTATACTGTATAAATATAATAATTTTGCTGTTCTTCAGTGTTATGATTACTTTAATTTAAATGAGTTGTTTAAAAAACCATCTAGAATTCCTATCAAATTAACCTTAATTATTATTATTATAATTTATATATATATATATTATATATATATTATTATAATCTGTATCTTCGTATTATCTGTAGTCCATTTCAATAAACTTGCTAGTATATTCATGAGTTCATGTAGAGTGCAGCAGAATAAAAAAAAATATATCGTTGAATTAACTGCCTAGGCTATAGTAAAAATACCAAAATAAATAGTGGAATGGAAAGAGATAGCAATTCATAAATAAAAACCCAATTGAAAAGACTTCACATAGGCCTAAGAATAGCTAATTTTTATTATATTCTCTACAACAGTGTTCAAATGTGAGCCTTCCAAATTTGGTAATTTAGTGCCAGCAATACCAGGATTGGGGGGTTCCAACAATTTTCAATCCAAATTTTTCAAATTGTGAAAGTAACAACAAAATGCTAGAATGTTTAACCAAATGTATTGATATTGTCTATGAATTAAGTTTTTTTGTCTTATGGAAACTGTGGTAATACTGTAATTTTATTTTTATAGTCAAGACAATATTTTGAGATAATTGAATGATATTTAATGAATTCAAGTATGGAGTCCATGATGGCTGCCATATCTTTTATATGATTATATTCAACAAAATAAATCGAAATACATTTCTACATTCAAATAATATTTATTTCAGTTTACATCAATTACAGTTTATTTATATACCAACTCCAATGCTGTGGATTTCCAGACATTTTTCTAAGCATTTTGAATGCTATTATTTTCAATCTTCATTGATAAATTATGTACATTTAAAATGGTAATTCCCTGAAAATCTACAGCTAACAGTTTTTAATAATTATATAATATAGAGCAATCTTTAAAATACACTTCTGTTTTTTTATTTCAAATAATATTTCATATTGTTTTTAATACAAACACAATTTAATTGTGATACTGATGATATAACATAATAGGTCAGCAGCATAGAACATTGCTTAAATCTTAATTAATTTCAGGGTCTGGGAAGATTTCTTCCTTCATCACAAAATAACTACTGATGATTCTGTGACCCCCATATAATTTACAGTAAAAAAATATTTTTTTTATTCTTGTCAAAGATTGTTGTTGCTTTTTGCAAAGCGGTTCTTGAGGGAAGAATGCTGTCAGTGAACCAAATACTACAAGTATAATACTACAAGTATACAATAAATTCTCAGAACAATAAGTTTAAAATAAATCAGCAGGCCAGGAGCAGCATATAAATCAACAGGGGTGTCACGGGAGAAGTGTTGAAATTAAAATCAGAAGGCACTTACAAATATTGCAAAAATAGATTAATATGCATAAACATCTAATACTAATAATAGTCATGCTAAAACATTTTATATCTTAAATTGAATTATGTGACAAGTGTCTACTAATATTTAATAAAATAAAACTACAATTTTTGCTTCAAATTATTAAAGTGTAGAATATTCCTAACCACAATTAGCATAACATAGAATATTCAGTAGTAAGAGATTGGTAAACTATGAGACCACACCTAGTAATTTATATCGCCATACACAATTTTATCTTTCACGTTCTTGTATTATACTTAACGCTAAAACGTGATTCTTTACACCTAAAATTACTTTTTTTAAATATTTTTTATATTTGCTCTAATACTACTAACCACATTTCTAAACTGAATGTTGAGAATGTTGTGGTGAAAGTACATCAGAAAAAAGATTTTATTGGCTTTTCCTGCATTAGCAGGAAAAGTCATTATTATTATTTTTTTTTTTTTTCTTCTATCGTTTTCCTATGTTTTTGCAGAGTTTTCTGACCGGCACTTTGGTCATCTTTCATGCTTAGATGATCTTCAAACTTTGTCCAAGCAAAGACCATCAAGATGTGTCGTTCTACATGTTAATGCAATTTGTATTTCCTAAAGCATTTCAAACTAGCTACAGCTGTGTTTAACACAAAATTACTGTAAAATGCATTAACAATTTTCGTCCATGACTTACAATGCAAGGTACGACAAACTAAAAATGCAATGATTTCCACAGGCTCAGGTTCTTAGCGTAATGATAAGAACTCTATTACCACTGCAGCCATAGTCTGACGTCAAGTTTGTTTTCATGCTTATTTTTTTTTTACTTCATAATTTTCTTTAGTATGAGTTTATTTTTCATGTATTTTTTAAATACTTTTTTAATGATTTTTTAAATAATTTTGGCAATGTGGAAAAGCCCATGTTCTGTTTTACAGACATAGTAAGTCTAGTTATATGTAAAATTGTTAGCTGTGCTAATTTTACATGGGTATTAGGCCTACATGGTTGAAGAAAGTAGGTGTTAAAACAATTTTCCAAAAGGCAAAATTTGGGAAAATAAAATTGTTACAATTTTTCGTATACCGTACATGTGAATTAGGTATTCGAGAAGGATTTTTAACAAATAACTACATACAAGGCAACCATCTATAATTTCAAACCTAAATAAATCCATCAAAATATATTAAAACATTTTACTATAGTAAAGTGTGAAAGAGACAAGCGTGATCTCTCACTTTAGAAAAAACTTGAGTTAATGTAATACCATAAATCTTGAGAAATTAGCACTGATTTTAAACAAACAACCTAGCAAAATTGATGAAACTTGGTAGTAATACATACGAACATACGGTAATAGCAAACCAAAAAGTAAAATACAACAAGGTCTTCAAATGAATTTTAAAAATAAATCAATTCAAAGTCCAAAGATCTTTTGATAAAAACAATAAGGAATTGTTTAGATTTAGCTATACATCTTGAGCATGTGCAGTTGCAACATATAAGGATTGAAATTACTTTAATTTAAAACCTTTTTAACAATTTTCTTACTTGTACAGTATAAATGGAAAGGTTAAATCTAGAAGAACTGGTCTGCTACAAGATAAAATATATATTCCTTGTTGAAAATTCTGTTAAAAATAAAAGTACTGAATTCACAATTAAAATATAATTTTTTTCTACAGTACTTTTAATATTTGGAAATTATGATTTGGTATAGATCCAGGAAAATATAAAGTTTTAAGACACTAGCGACTACTCGCAAATTCTCATACTCACAAAAGATTTCTCTGCACAACTTGCTCAGGAATTGGGACTCTTCAGGACTCTTTATAGACTGTGAATACTCAGGATTGCTCATGATGGATTGGTATTATTTTTAAATGCTCATGATAGCTTAGGACTGTTTATAACCGTTTGGCACTGCTTGTAATTGCTCTGGACCAGTTGCCTTGTTTAGTCAATTGGTTCAAAGTATTCAGATGCTGTTTGTTGTGTCAGGAATGTTGAGCATGTGGAACCAGTACTTTCATGGGGTTGACTCCCAAGTGCTACCCTCTGAGGGTCAGGGAATGCAGGACATGGGTATATACGTCCGTGTTCACATCTCTCGCATGAGTGGCCGTGTCTGCTACGACGCTGACCTTCTCTTAACGGGCCAATTTCAAATGGATAAACCTATGGACATAAGAATAGAAGTGTTGTCTTAACAAATCATGTGGAATAATATGATGCTTTCATCATAACTGATCAAGGAGATTTCAGGTGCAAACACATAAATACATTAAACAACTGGATACACTGATCACCTTGATATGTTAAACACCTGGATACATTAAAATAAAGACATTTGTAATTCTCAGAATGTGTTACTTGGTTTATTTTCACCCTCTGTTAATTTATTGATTATAATTATAATGAACATACCATTTCCTGACATCTACTACACTTGGCTCCTACACTGTATCTCGCTTTCCCAGTGAAGATGTTACCACAGCTGCAGCGATAAGTCCCTTTACCATATTCATCGTCAACAACGAGTGCATCATATCTGACTTTACATTTGAAGCATCTGCAAATAATAAATAACAGTCAAAATTAATTTAAGATGATAAAAATTGTATACTATAATTATCTCCCCTCTTCAATAGTTAAATGCCAGCTCTTCTCAGTTGCAATACTCAAATACAATAAATAACAATAAGTTTGATTTATAGGTGCAAAATAGTGAGGTCTCCATGAATAACCAAGATCTACAGTAAAATAAAATGATAGCACTAGAAATGCAATTGACTTCATTAAGTGTATTAGGCTAGTTTAAATGCTGCTACCACCAGCTCTGGGCTAGCTAATGTCTCACCTGCGTCCCATCACTAAAAATTCCACTACTGAACTGAGAAAAACTTATTTTAACCGAGTGACACCTGACCATGTTGTGCAGCCAAGTTAGGAGGTCACATTCTCTGGTGGCATGGATACATTCTCCGCCTTTACACCACATATTGCATTTCAAATCTAGTTGTAACAATTACGTTACTTACAGTGCACCCTCAAATTTGATAACTTGATGGCACAAAATGCTTATTGAAACTTTTATCCTACCGTGAAACTGGTTTATGAGCAGGAACCCAGCGCCACCATGTTTCTTTACAGGGGCTGCAAGAAAATTGACGCCGCGACTCCAAGCTCTTGTTGTGCAGCTTGAGATTGTCAAGTGTCAAAGGTTGAATGCCATCAGGGAGGTCACCTTTCTTTTGCAAACCATCCTAAATAATAATAATACTTTATTTGACAAAAACTACGCCTTTCCATACATAGCATAATGACGGCGTGTTCATAAAGACAATATTTAAAACAAATAATATAAACAGTAACAAAGCAATGTACAAAACGTGAAATTAAAAGGATTCTTAAAAATCGATAACAATTGACATACTAAATGAAAAGTAAAAGTTTCAGGGATTAATAAGTTTTTTTGGAAACTACAAATGTAATTCGCAAATTGAATTTTGGTAGGACTGTGAGGTAAGTACAGATGCATTAGGTCTGTGTCGTAGACAGTGCATCCCCCCCCCCCCCCCCCCGGGCCCCCCCCCCCATTGAGTCTGAGACCTAAATATGTTGGTTTTTATGTTACTGTTGTTGTGTTTTTAATAATTAATTGATCATTAAAACAACATTTTTGTATTTTGATTTACATTGTTCATAATGACTGAATACCATACAAAATAGAGTAGGAATCTCAAGTGGCAGTGTGTGTGTGTTAGTGTTGAATCTCCCTGCTCTCTTGTAGTCAGCATTTTCATCATAGATTGATTATTGGTGTATAAACCAAACCAGATTGTTTTGAGTATGTTCAGATTGGGCTGCAGGAGGTAGCCACATCAAAGGGCTATTATTAGAAAACAAATTATATATAAACAAAATTATTACCTTTCTCAGTCGCCTTTGGATTACAGCAATACCTTTTTCAATGAGATTGAGAGGACCAAACAGAGAAAATCGGAGTGTTCCATTGCGCTCAATAGTAAATTCTATGTTCAACTCTTTTCCAATGCCTTCCTTGATTGCCATGCAAATTGTGTGGATCTAGGCAAAAAAAAATATGGTCATCCTATGAAAAAGACTAAACTGTTGATATATGTTTTCATGTATATAGAACTACAGTATATTCAAAAACTGAAATTAATTCTTAATCTGGTATCTATAAAAAAAAAAATGTAATGTAATTGCCAAGGAGGAAAGCAATTTTTCATTAAATAATTATTTTATGACAAATACAAAATTATCAACATCAGCAACTTCTTAAAAACTGAGAAATGGCCCTCCTATTATATTTTTCAATCATGACATATAATAAAAATATTATGGAAAATAATAACCACTGCGATAAGTCAATGGTCAAACTTAAATTTCTAATCAAATACTGTTGGAAAACCATGCTCCAGCCAACAAAGTAAGTCACGTAGTAATTGGTTTGAATGTTATAAATGCAGGAATTCTAAATAGAGGGGGTCCATTGAGGGACTTTTACAGACAGAAGGCTTACACCACCTTAGCCCCAGCATGGTTGGGGCTGGGGTCAGAAAATATATGATTATGGCACCTCTAGATGACCAGAAATGGCACTCTCACCCTAAATTTATTTATAAATATTCATTTTTTAACCATTTTTTTTTTTATTTAAAAAAATTTAGGAGGGAGGCTAGCTTGTACCTTCCCCTTGAATCCACCACTGTAAACAGTTTGTGATTTTGGATTTTATTCAATTAATTTTAAAATACTGTATACTTTAGTTTGTAGTACAATAAAAACATCATGTTGAATTTTATTTTTTTTAAATTTACCTGTTTTCTCTGCACCTCTCGATCCAATTCTCCATATTTAAAATCTTCTTTACTAATGTAAAATGTCTATCAAGATAAAATTATTCATATTTGAAAGAATCGAATATAATATGATTACTAGTATGTAATATTTCTTAAACTGAACCTATTTTACTGTATGTACACAAATGTTTAACTTTCTTTCTTGTGTGAATATTGAGTCTCGAAAGCACTATAAAAACACAATACAAAATAATCCAAGATTTATCTACTTCATAGTCAGCAGAAGGTTGCGGGTTCGAATCCTGGTTGGGGCACCTATTTTTTTTCACACCCGCTAATTTAATTTTTATTTTGTTCCACACAAATGCAAATAAACTTATGTTTGATTTTGCGATAGGTCTGCGAAGAAATATAGTAGGCACCAGAAACAACAGCCTAGCAACACTGCTAAGCTGGGCCTAACCTTACCTCAATTAATTGTGGGATGAATTAAATATCTTATCATGAGAGTTCATGGCATTGGTGGGTGAGATAAAAAAAATAAATAAGAAGATATTAGAATGCAGGTTCGTAACAAAATTATAGTACCCTGCCTACCTCTGACGCTCGACTTTGCCCAGTAACGCAGATGTTGTCAAGAAAATAGTAATCTCCTATGAGATAGTCTATATTTCTCACTTGTATGAAGTACACAAAAGCGAGTGCATTTCAGCGGATTCAATCTACAATTTCTGAATTTGCCTTTTACCTTTACCTTTAATTTACCTTTGAATTTGAAGATGTCGAGAAGATGGTAATCTCTTACGAGATAATCTATATTTCTCTTTTTTTTATCCTTTTACGTAAAACTAAAATTTATGCCAACATTTTTCCATGGTAGTCTATAATTCTCTTCTTTTTTTAAACCCTTTTGCGTAAAACTAAAATTGATGCCAACATTTTTCCATGGTTTATAGTAAGAGTAATGCATAGACTAATGCATTTATACACATCTAGATGTGTATAAGAGGTATGAAAAAAAAAAAAAAAAAAGCATATATGCTTTTTTTTTCAAAGAATTCTTTTTTTAATGAAATCTTGCCAGGAATGGGGCTCTAGACTTCCATCTCTATTACTATGACATATCAGACTAAATAACCATTTCCATAATGAATGGCACCTTTTAATATTTAAAGATCATTACTCAACAAATTGCATGCGGTTGCCATAATGCCACAAACAATATAACTGACATATGTTCTCTGAATGCCGTGCGTGGGAACATACAATAGCGTACCTTATGTTTGATCATAGATGCCAACATTTGAGAAAATAAAAATCAGGAGAAAAAAAAATAAGATGGATATTTCCTCATAGACTGTTAGGATAAAAAGGCAAAGGCGTTACGTGCCAAATGAGGGTGTGAGGCCAAGCCGGGGGTAAGTTTGGGAGATGGGTTTCCCTTTCTCATTAGGTGGGGGTCTGGGAAGAAGTTCCTGATTCTTTCTGTTTAGGGAGCAAAAATGATCGATTTGGTTATGTAACTAATTAGGCCTACTATTAGTTTGCAAAATCTAGGCCTACATTAGGGTCTAGGCCATAGTAGGCTAGCCTATATTCGACTATTATTATATAGGCAGGGGCCAGGCCTAGTGTCAGTGATTAAGAAATCAGACGCTGGGGAAAAATCTGGAGAACGATTTTCAGTCAGGAGACAAGTCTCAAATCAGGAGTCTCCTGATCAAATTAGGAGTGTTGGCATGTATGTTTGATGGACCAGAGCTACCTACTATCTAAACCAAAAAATCTTATAGTACTAGGCTAGCCTACCTAGCTCTGTGTAAGCGCACTGATGCGTTTAATAATCATAATAATAAAACAGCAATGCATGTGAAGAGGCCTGCCGCCTAGGCCTAGCCTAGGCTTTTATAAAATAAGGCCTAGAAAATAGGTGTAACTAACTAGGCCTAGGCTAGGCTAGACCAAGAGAAGGTGTCACCACCAGAGTAGTTAGCAGAATATCTTGCAAACCAACCTTATTGCCCGCCATGATCGGTGTGGA